TCCTTTCCATCAATCTATGTGTATATTTGTACCAGTACCATCCTGTTTTAAATACTATAGCTCCCAATTTTTGATTACTAAGAATGAAGCCTTATAAACAATTGTGTGCAGGTTTTGACCATAAATCAGTTCTCAGGGGTAAATGTCCAGGAGAGCAATTGTTTGGTTGTTACATATTTAATGTTTTAAGAAACTGTCAAACTGTTTTCCAGAGTGGTTGTGCCCACTAATGACATACGAACAAGCAATTTTCTCCACATTCTCGCCAGCTTTGGTATGGTCACTCCTTTTTTATTTTAGCCATTCTGCACATGTATGTAGTGATATTTCTTTGTGGCTTTAATTTGCATTTCCCTAATAACTAATAATGTTAAAAATCTTTTCACGTACTTATTTGCCATCTCTGTATCCTTTTATATGACATGATTCTTCATGTCTTTTGCCTGTTTTCTGACTGGATTGTTTGTTCTTTCACGTGTTGAGTCTTTAATATTCTTTATATATTCTAGATGCTTATCCATTGTGAGATGTGTGGTTTGCAAATACTTCCTACCAGTGTATAGCATGCCTTTTCATCCTCTCAATGTGGTCTTCCATAAAAATGTTCAATTTTTATGAAGTCTGATATGTCCGCTTCCTTTGCTTTTGGTGTCCAGTCTAGGAATTCTTTACCTAGTCCTAGATTTTCCATAGTCCTATGTGTTTTCTAATTTTTTTATAGTTTTACATTTATGTCTATGATTCATATTGAGTTAAATATTATATAAGGTTTAGATTTTGGTATAGGCTCATTTTTGTTGTTCTTGCTTGTGGACAACCATTTGTTCCAGCATCATTGTCAAAATATTAACTTTACTCCACTGAGTTGCCTTAGCACCTTAAAATCAATTGGGTTTATTTATGTGGCTTTGTTTTGGGGTTTTCTGTTCTCATCCATTGATGTATGGATCTGTTAATTTGACAGTTCCACATGATCTTGATTACTGAATTTATAAAATAAGTCTTGAAAAAGAGTAGCCTGATTTTTTTTTTGAAATTATTTAAACTATTCTATTGGGTCTTGAAGGCTTTCTTTTTTTAAAATTATTTATTTATTTGATGGGCAGGGGGGAAGAGAGAGAGAGAGTGCACAAGCAGAGAGAGCAGCAGAGGGAGGGAGAAGCAGGATCCTTGATGAGCAGGGAGCCCGATGGGGGGCTCAATCCCAGGACCCTGAGATCGTGACCTGAGCAGAAGGCAGACACTTAACTGACTGAGCCACCCAGCCACCCCAGGTCTAGGCTTTCTTCTGAAACATATTTTAGAAGAATCTTGCCCATATCTTCAAAAAATCTTGTTGGGATTTTGATAGAAATAATGTTAAACCTGTTTGAGGAGAATTGATATCTTTATAGTTTTGAGGTTTCCAAACTTTTAGCATGGTATATTTCTCCATTTGTTTAGTTTCATACTGGTTTCTTTCCTCAGCATAGCTCAGTTTCAAGGGTATAGTTTTCTACCCTTACCCTACAGCTAAGCATTTTTTTAAATGATTATAAGTGGCATTGTAATATTTAATTTTGGTATCCATGTGTTCAATGCTAGTATGCAGAAATACAGTTGAATTTTGTATGCTCATTGTGTATCCTGTGCACTTGCTCATCTCAAGTATTTGCTCCAGGAATTTTCTTATAGACTCATTGGCATTATCTATGTAGATAATTGTGTCACCTGCAAAGAGGGGCAATTTTATTTCTTGCATCCTAATCATATGCATTGTTTTCTCTTCTTGGCTTACTGCTCTGGCTAGATCTTCTAGCACAATTTTGAATAAAAGTGGTGAGACAAGACATTCTTGCCTTGTTCTCAGTCTTAGGGGGAAGCATTCAGTCTTACACCATCAAATGTCATGTTAGCTGTAGGTTTTTTAGGATATTCGTTGTCAAGTTGGGGAAGTTTTCCTCTTCATATTTTACTGGGAATTTTTCTCATGATTGAATGTTTAAATATGTGTAATGTTGGGCGCCTGGGTGGCTCAGTTGGTTAAGCGACTGCCTTCGGCTCAGGTCATGATCCTGGAGTCCCGGGATCGAGTCCCGCATCAGGCTCCCTGCTCAGCAGGGAGTCTGCTTCTCCCTCTGACCCTCGCCCCTCTCATGTACTCTCTCTCTCTCTCATTCTCATTCTCTCAAAATAAATAATAAATAAATCTTTTAAAAAAATAAATATGTGCAATGTTTGTTTGTTTGTTTGTTTTTCCTGCACAGATTATCATGATCTAGTGATTTTATTCTTTAGGCTGTCATGATGGCAGATCATATTGATTGATTTTCCAAATACTGAACCATATTTATATCCCTGGAATAAATACCACTTGGTTATGTGGGAGAATTCTTTTTATATATTGCTTTTATTTGCTCTTACTTTGTTAAAAATTTTCATATCCATATATATTAGAGCCATTATTGGTTTGTTGTTTTCTTTTCTTGCAAACTTTTTGTCTGGTTTTAGTATCCAGTTATCTTATCTTGAGCTGCCACAATGAAATATCATACACTGGGTGGGTTAAACAGCAGAGATCTATTTTCTCACACAGATTTTTCACAGAGATTCTCTTTTCTGGGGGTTGGATACCCGGTATCAGAAGGCAGAATGATCACGTTCTGGTGAGGACTCTTCCTGGCTTGCAGATACCTGCCTTCTCACCATTGCTCATGTGGCCTCTGCTCAGTGAATGCATGTTGGGGGCTGGAGGGGCATTTCTTTATCTTCCGTTGCTCTCATGAAACCACCAATCCTATCAGATTAGCACCTCATGCTATGACCTTATTTCATCTTAATTATCTCCTAAAAGCCCTGACTCCAAATACAGTTACACTGAGAGGTAGGGCTTCAATATATGAATTTTGGGGCAATCATTCAATCCATAGCACAGGGTAATTTAGTGCCATAAAATAGACAAGGAAGGTGCCCATCTACTTCCATTTTTTGGAAGAAACTCTGTAAAATTGATGTTAATTTTTCAAATGTTTGGTCGATTTCTTAGTGCATTTGGGTAGATGTCTAAGTGTATATAATGGAATAGCATAGACCAAGTGGTTTATAAACAACACAGATTTATTTATCACAGTTCTTGAGACAGGGAAGTCCAAGATCATGGTGCCAGCTGATTTGGTGTCTAGTGTTAACTTTTTCTGTTACATAGACAGCATCTTCTTGCTGTCTTGATCCTCACATGACAGAAGGGGTGGGGGAATATTCTGGAATCTCTTTGAAAAGGGTGCTAATCCCATTTTGGGGGCTTTGCCCTCATGTTCTAATTACAATGAGAAGGCCCCACCTCCAAACATCATCACCTTGGGAGTTAGGTTTCAACATATGACTTTTGGGGGACACAAACATGCAATCTATGCCAGTAGAAATCTGTAAAATCACTGGGACCTGTAGACTTCTTTTGGGGGGTTTTAATAGTTATTATTCAAATTTTCTATTTTGTATTCAGTAAGTTGTGGTAGTGTGTGTGTGGTTTTTTTAAGGAAACAGCCTATTTCCTATAAATTATTAAATTTATGTGTGCATTATTTGTATTTTTCTTTACTATTTTATGTCTTTGGGGTCTGTAGTAATATTTTCTATTTTATTCCTGATATTAGGTATTTGTGTCTTCTACTTCCCCCCACTTTTTGTGTCAGTCTTGCTAGATGTTTGTTAATTTTGTTGACCTTTGCAAAGAATTAGCTTCTGTTTCATTATTTTTCTCTGTTGTTCTTCTGTTTTGAGTTTCTTTGATTTCTAAATTTATATTTCTTGCCTTCTCTTTGCTTTGGGTTTATTTTCTTCTTCCTTTTCTAAGTTCTTGAGATGGGAGTTTGGGTTGCTAATATGAGAAGTCTCCTCTTTTCTAATGTATATTTTTAATATTATTAACTTCCCTCTCATCACTGCTTAGCTGAGTCCTCTAACTTTTGATAGCTTGTCTTTTTATTTTCATTCATTTCAATGTATTTTTTTCTTCATTTTCCCTTGAGACTTCCTCTTTGATCCGTGGATATTTAGAAGTGTGCTCTTTGGTGACTGGGGATTGTCCTGTCATTTTTCTCTTATGAATTTCTAGTTTGATTCTGAAACCTACGGCAGCTGGAATTAGATATTCAATACCATAGACTTACTGGCAAGCCAGAATTTCTCTACAAAGAATGAACGTTCAGACTTATTCTTTTTGGAATAGGAGAGTTGTGTTCAGACTATACTAAATCACCTATCTAGAGACAACCTACTTAATTAGCAGTTAGTTTGTATTTGTAAAATACAAATTGACAAAACATTTCTTTGACGTTTTAGAAAGCCGTTACTTTATAAAGCATTATGCATAAAATATATATTATTATCCTAGTTCACTCATTCAGACTGCTGACTTTATCATCATTAACATTTCTAAATATATATAAACCTAGTGATAGGGGAAAAACATATGTAAGAATCCAAAAGACTTGCCTTGAAAACCAAACATTAAAATCAATTCATTTGACCTCTGCTCAAGGTAGTAATTGATTTTTGTTTATTGTGCTGTGACTAGTATATGTTTTCTTTTCAAGAAAGCTATGATTTATTTGGGGCAGATAATAAGAATAAGCACATTAACTATGAGATGTGACAACCCACCATCTAATAATTTAGGAGGACAAAAATAAATCAAAGTACATACAAAATCATATTTTTTCATGTAACATGTATAAGGATGACTTTGCATTAAGTTTCATGTCCCCTGTTTCATGCAATGGTGTATTGCACAATTCCTTCAATAAAGAATTTTCTCAAAAAGTTGTTTAAATGAACTATTACTTGAACATGCTTAATTTCAATTACCTGGCAACACCTTGAGTGTGGATCATGTAATTGTTTAGTGACATATCTCAAATAAACATACCGCCGTGAAAAGAGAAATACAATGACTTCATCAAATAAGCTTGAATTACAAATTTATGCTTTTTCACTCTGTTCCTATATTTTTTATGGTTTAGATTATCGGGATTCCAGCTGCCATCCTCAATAGTCAGCACGGGATCTATCCTCACGCTGTGGTTCACGACAGACTTCGCCGTGAGCGCCCAAGGCTTCAAAGTCCTGTATGAAGGTAGGACATTTCTGGGCTCTGGACACACATACTGTCCAGACCATCTCCTACTTGCCACACGGGATTCAAGATTTCAATGCAAACACAAGCTGCTCTTTCAGAGGTGGTTTGATGTTATAAACACTTGACTCTTGTGTAATATATTGATGATTGCAGAACACCGTCTACTATTAACTGCCAAACTTTCCAGGGCAAAAACTTGTGTTTACTATTTTCCTTTACGGGCAGTACTCTTTTTTGTTGGAGAAGTGGTTTTTCTTTTGATGTGTGGCAGAGAAGTTTTGAAAATTTTGAATACTAACTCACAGCACTGCTGTTCTGTGAAAAATTCATTTTTAACTCAGAAGTGTTTTAAGAATGTAATTCTTAAACTTTTTGCTGGGAAGTAATACTGTTAGTGCTAAAGTAAAGATAATTCCATGATGTTTTTCTTGTCAAAGCCGAAACTTTTAATTGAGAAGATTAGTTTGGTTTTACTGTTTGGTCATTGCAAGGCGTCTAGATTTTGTTTGTGTTTTCAGATTTTGTGCCAAGGGACCCTTTGGAATCTTGATATTGTTGAACTATTGTTGAACTTGGGGATGGAAATTTTAAAAAGATGAAAGAGAATTCAACCTTTGAGAGAGGAAGTAATGATGATCTTTTCAGGAATTCGGTTTTAGGAAATTACTAGTAATTCTTTAAGCATAAATGCTGAGGTGTGTCTGTTTTTGCCTTGATTTTCGAGGATAGTTAAGATTTTCTTTCCTGTGTAATACAGAGAGTATTATTTTTAATATAAGTATACCCCAGAGCCTGTGAAGTGACAATAGGCTATAGGTAGGGGTATAAACTAATCCCTAGTTTCACCTCCTTTACTTAGGATGTTGTTCTGGATTAAGTCACCTCTGCATAGGCTTTTCTTTGGAGTACTCAGTGCACTTGGGGAAAAATCATTCTTTGTGGAAAGATAAAATCTAGTGTGCTTTGTGCAGCTGAACTTGGCTACTACGCAATTATCAGAAAACATGAGGGTAGAATGTCATGTTTGCACAGATAGACAGACCAATTTTTCCTTTTATTTAGTGTTTCAGATGGAATGATGTTTAAGACTGTTTACTCTTCTGACTCCAGTGTCTTTCAGGCCACTGCATTTATATATAAACTGATATCAGTATATTTATTATACTTAAAGGTGTTTAAGTCTATTACCATTGGGAAGTAATTTAATCTTTGGAGAGTAACAAGCTAATTTAAGGTTAATAGGTGCTTTTAGCTTTCAAATGTGCATATACCTACCACTTCCTACATACACTAACTTCACATAATTTCCTTTTTGCTCAACATTACGGAAGTATTTCTAAGGCACCCTGTTCTAGCTACCTGTGAAGCATAACTCGTCCAGCCACCATACCTGGTATTTGCTCAGATGGTTGATAATGCTTCAATATTTTAGAATCTGGTGACTTTCCTCTTCTTCCCGACAAAGTTGGTACTTGAATATTACATTTTGCTCAATTTCCTAAGACACATGTGGAAATTCAGTTGATGTTGAATGATTGCCAAATGAGTAATTCTGTTGACTCTTTCCGCACTATTGTTGCTGGTATTATTGGTTGTCGTGATGGTATATAACACACAATTGGTGAGATTGTCTCTCTGTTGGAAAGAATATTTATGAATTATTTTAAAAAATGAGGATAAAGGTAAGCAGGACCAGGAGTTAAGTTAAATGTGCATTTTAAAATTGTTGATCTGTGGACATGCTCTTTTGGAAATTTATAGTTTAAATAGTGACATTATAATATAGTCTGATATTTAAAAGCAGATACAAGCCTTTTTTTTGAATGGAAAAAAAAGATACTGCATTAAAAGTTTGTCAGCAAAACCAAAACTGTATATAATATTTACTATCTCTATTTTAAAAGTATTTCTCCATTAGCTTTAAGGTCTCCTGAGAAAATCAATATGTACTATCTGGAGAAATAAAGTTAATTGTGGTCTCAGCAGAGGATTAAGTCCTGGAGAATTTATCCAGAAGGGAGTAAAGCTTTCACTGCAAGCACCAACTGATTTATCAGTAGTCTAAGTTCCCACATGGACGTTAGATACAGCTGTAGGCAATGCCACTGAAAAAAGTGAGATTTTATGAAAAATACTGCATAAAATATTCAAACATACCTAGTCAAATAAAATATAAAGCAGAACCAATGATAATGGTCAGAAAATCATATACATTTTTGGGGGGGAACCAGAACACAGAATCCTCTGAGGGACTCAGATTTCCTTGTTTCCCACAAGTTTTTATTTTGATGATACTGTCCGTCAAGTAATTAATATAAGCCAAATAATGTAATAAAATTCTAATGTCTTGCCCAAGACCTCTAAAGGAAATTTAATTTAGATATAAAACAATAGATCAGCTTGTTCAAAAAAATAATATTCTGTAGCCTTAAACTAGTACTATGTTTTTCAGTTAAAATTAGAATTTATTTACCAGATTGATGTTTAAATTTTTAATTTAAGTTCTTTTGGTTAAATTGGAGAAAATGTTTCAAACTTTTAAAATCTGTCTAAACATGATAACCTTGATAACAAGCTTAATCCAAGCCCTGAACTTTGTGGTTTTCTGGCAGTAATTTGGAATAGGCATTATTTACATAAATTATTATTCATGTATGGAAATATTAAACTACATAATGAGTATGAAAACAATAATTTAAAAATTCTAATTAATGCATTTAGTCATTGAATTTAACCCTGGAAATTAAATGGAAATATTTATAAATTTCAGAGTAACATCGCTCATCTATAGTAATTGACTCTCTAAATGTGGAGAGACCTTCAGGGTCTTAGTAAATTTATAGACTATCAGTCAAATCAACATATTCCAATGCATACATACTTCAGTAAAATTGAAGTTACCAACTTAATAGGGTATTTTGTAACATTAAATTTGCTAGGTTCATCACTGAACATTGTTCTTTATAGTAAACCAAAGAATTTGCATATTTTTTGGTAAATTTATAACAGAAAACACTGAGACTACACATAATGTACCATGACATGGATTACTATCAGACCTTCTGTATTTGCCCAGTATTGAAGTATTATGTACATAAATAGGATTTATTCATATATTTCTATTTGCCAACTTTATTTCACTAAGATTTCAATTACCAACAAAATGCTTCATTTATTTCATCAAGATTATGTATGACTTAAGAAAAATATCATTTCGGAGACCAGAAAATTAACATGGCATGTCAAGGCATGGCAAATATTATGCAGTAACAAACATGCATGACGAGGCATGGCCATCACTTCACTTGAGGACAAGGAGAACAAATCAATTTGGTGACATGAAAATCTGGACAATGTGCCACAAAGAACCTGTCTCTCTTTTTATTTTTTTTCACTTTTTAAAAGGAGATGCCTCTTTCTTTCTTCCTTTCTTTTTCTTTCTTTTTGCCTTTCCCTTCCTTCCTTCCTCCTTCCCTCTCTCTCTTTCTTTCTTTCTTTCTTTCTTTCTTTCTTTCTTTCTTTCTTTCTGAGATGCCTCTATTTCTAATGGATTTTTTTATTCGTGACAAAGTAAATGTTAGAAACACTTGCGTATATATCATGAAAACTTTTCAACATGACATTTTAGTTATTTTGGTCTGAAGTCTGATTTATTTTTAAATGACTTTACTTGTGTTAATGCACATGTTTGCTTTTGTGCTGGATATCATTCAAATCTTTTGCAGTCTATTTCCTAATTTTTATTTGATGATGTTTAATCATTTTATTCTTGATTAATTTTGTTTAAATGTAGTTTTCACAAATTATTTACCATAACTTAGGTTGACTTTTTAGATATTTTTGAAGGTGAAGTAAGTTTTCTTGGACATTGGTTGTATTTTTTATAATTCCATATTTTCTGTGAGATAGAGTTTTTTATTTTATTTTATTTTATTATGTTATGTCAGTCACCATACAATACATCATTAGTTTCTGATGTAGTGTTCCATGATTCATTGTTTGTGCATAACACCCAGTGCTCCACGAAGAACGTGCCCTCTTTAATACCCATCACCAGGCTAGCCCATCCCCCACCCCCCTCCCCTCTAGAACCCTCAGTTTGTTTCTCCGAGTCCATAGTCTCCCATGGTTCATCTCCCCCTTGATTTCCCCCACTTCATTTTTCCCTTCCTACTACCTTCTTTTTTTTTTTTTTGGCTAATACCATTTACATTTGGGTAGAAAACACCAGCTCTGTGATTCAAATTAATGAGTCCAATGTGTATTCATTAGAATCAATAGTTTCCTTGTATAGAACATTTTTTAAAAGTGTAGGGCAATTTCATCAGTTGGGAACCAAATTTTCTTTGAACAATTGGCAAAGGTTTTTTATCTATGGGAGAGCAGATGTTTCAAAGGAATCAGAATGAAAATCATATGCACATTTTGACATGGATATTTATATCTGGTAAGGTAGAAGGAAGGTTACACTGGATTCTTGTCTAAGGCAAAATTGATAAATGGTGGGACACTATTCTTTTCAAGATTTCTTTAAAAATATTTGCTGACGTGGTAGCTGAAAAGGGAACACTTTAATGACAAATGTAGATAGTCATATATTTTGATCATAAGACGCTGATTTTACACACTCAGCATTTGTCTTTCCACATTTCCATCTTAGAATATACCAGACTTCAGTTTTATGCATGTAATATAAGAAGCTGAGTGTCAGAATCTATTTGAATGAAACAAATACTGGTAGTATAATGAGGAGGAATTTGACATGCTAAATAGTAAAAATTTGCTTGTGGCAGGAAATCGTGTTTCATACAAAACAGTTCATTAATTGGAATGAGAAAAACAATTGTCCATTAAGATAGTTTAAGAACCTCCCCTGGGTTATGAAATACTCTTCTAAAGGATTTTTTTCAAGGTTTATTGTCTTAAAATCATTCATTCTATCAATTATGACATGCTCTGCTTACTAAGGTGTATGTATCTCTCTGGATCAATAGATG